CGCGTAAAAGGCCCTTTGCCCACCATGACAGAGAAGCTCATTTTGCTACAGCTATATTTAGGAGCATGGCCCACTGTATTTCCCCCAATCTTTTTCGTGATCTTTCTTCCCATTGCCCTCATAAACAATTTTGATTCCAGTTCTGTTTTGTGGAAGGCAGCAGGAGGCTGTTAGGAGTATAATTCTAGTTACAAAAAGACCTGGATTTGGGTTTTTCCTTGCACCTCGGATGTCTCCTCTATAAAACCTGGCATGGCTACACCAGCCCCCGCTTAAGACCATCGTGAATTGGGGAAAGATCCTCAAACTTCCTGGTGGACAGTCTGGGGAATGGCGCAAAGCTGGGTTCCAGGCTCTCCTTACTTCTTGCCTAACTGTAGCAGCCATCCTGAAGACAATATAGTGCTTTATAGGATGCGTTGAGCGTGAAATAAGGTAACAGATATAAAATACCAGATAGAGCCCAGTGGCTGGTTTATGGCAAGCACTCAACATATAGTTACTTATTTTATTATTTCTATCCATCAGACAAAGCATTGCCCTATTCTCTATCTTCTCTCATCTCGTTCCTCCATTTCATCAATGAACAAATACTGAAAACCTTCCTATAAGTGGAAGGTTTTATTTATCAGCTCATCTGAAAAACTCACTGAAAATATTCTGAATGTCATAAAATAAAACTGGAAATATTTATAAGAGGATTTCATCAGAATTTCCCCAAGTTAAATGGCAGTGGAAAATTGATAAAGAATATATTTTTCATCACTTTCTGGACACTACAAAATAACCTGAGATTCTCAAAAGAAGACCATCTGAAGATCATTCAACAGCTCCTTGAAACTAAAGTTTTCTTGAACAAAAGTTCTTATATGAGGTAGATATTAGATGATGTTAAGAAATTACTATTTTGTGTTAGGTATGACAGATATGGTGGGTATGCAGGAAACATTTTTGGTGATGCATGCTGAAAAAATGGGGCATGAAATATGATATCATTAATTTACTTTTAAGCAATAGGGTATATCATGTCAAAAGTTTTAACATGTATATCGTGTTAAAAGTTTACATAAAAATAAGTCAGCCTGGAAATGATTATGTAAAAACTGCTAGTGTTTGTTGGCTGTAGGAGATAGATACCCTGTTTTGAAATTTTTCATTAACCAACAAAAAAAATAAGGTAAGAAACCGAGTGCCTAGTAAAAAGAAAAATAAAAAGAAATCAGTCCTTAGCTTCCAACTCTATCTCAGAAAGTGTTTAAACAACTTTGGCCTGTTTTGTATGCACAGAGAAATCAAGATTCTCTGTCAACCAAAAAAAAAGAGTGCTCTAAATGATGAATCTTCATAATCATTGAAAATAAGCAACAGTGACCAGATTGCCTCCATTATTATTCAATTATTATTGGTTCCATTCTTCTCAAGAGAGACTTATTCTCTCTCAAGTGTGTATTTTTATAAACCAATTTGTTGCATTATTGCCTGAATACCACTATTTGTTTTTAGTGTATTGTTTTAATTTATTGTTTTAATTTGAATATGCTTGGGGTGTCTGGGTGGCTCAGTCAAGCATCTGACTTTGGCTCAGGTCATAATCTTGCAGTTCATGAGTTCGAGCCCCGCACCCAGCTCTGTGCTGACAGCTCAGAGCCTGGATCCTGCTTTGGATTCTGTGTCTCCTCTCTGCCCATCACCCACTTGTATTCTGTCTCTCTCTCTCTCTCTCAAAAATAAATAAACAGTAAAATAATAATAATAATTTGAATATGGTTAACGCATGTTGTTACATTAGTTTCAGGTACACAACTTAGTGATTTGACAAGTTTATACATGATGCAATGTTCACCACAAGTGTAGTCACCATCTATACCATTGTTATATCGCTATTACAATATCATTGACTATATTTCTTATGTTGTATCTTTTATTCTCGTGATTTTTTCATTCCATAACTGGAAGCCCGTACCTCCCTCCCCCCATCACCCAGTTTGCCCATTCTCCCACCCCTGCCTCCTGGCAACTTGCATCAGTTTATTCTCTGTGCTGATAGGTCTGATTGTGCTTTTTGTTTATTTGCTAGGTTTAGTTTCCACTTATGAGTGGAATCATATGATAGTTGTCTTTCTCAGTCTGACTTATTTCACTTAGCATAATACCCTCTAGGTCCATCCATGTTGTCTCAAATGGCACGATGTCATCCTTTTTGTGTGTGTGTGTGTGTGTGTGTGTACCACATTTGTGTTATCTATTCACCTATTGATGGACATGCTTCCATATCTTGGCTATTGTAAATAATGCTGCAATAAACTTGGAGTGCATATATCTTTTTGAATTAGTGCAAACATTCTTGGATCATATGGTATTTCTATTTTTAATTTTTTAATTTTTGCACAATCCCAATAACAGTGTGCAAGGATTCCTTTTTCTCACATCCTTGCCAACACTTATTACTTCTTGTCATTTTGATTCTAGCCATTTTAACTGGTGTAAGGTGAGACTCACCATGGCTTTGATTTGCATTTCCCTTACGGTTAGTGATGTTGAGCATCTTTTCATGTGTCTGTTGGCCATCTGGATGTCTTCTTTGGAAAAATGTCTATTCAAGTCCTCTCCCAATATTTTAATGGGATGTTTGGCTTTTTTGGTGTTGAGTTGTAAAGTTCTTTATATATTATGGATATTAATGCCATACCAGATCTGTCATTTGCAAATATCTTTTCCTATTAAGTAGGTTGTCTTTTTGCTTTGTTGATTGTTTTCGTTGCTGTGCAGAAGCTTTTTATTTGAATGTAGTCTCAATAGTTTATTTTAGCTTTTGTTTCCCTTGCCTCAAGAGACATATCTAGAAAAATATTGCTACAGCCAATGTCAGAGAAATTACTACCTGTGTTCCCCTCAAGATTTTTATGGTTTCAGGTCTCACATTTAGCCCTTTAATCCATTTTGAGCTTATTTTTGTGTATGGTGTTAGAAAGTGGTTCAGTTTCATTCTTTTGCATATAGCTGTCCAGTGTTCCCACTACCATTTATTGAAAAGACTGTCTTTTCCCCATTGTATATTCTTGTCCTCCTTGTCTTAGATTAATTGAACATATAATTATGGGTTTGTTTCTTGGGTCTCTGTTCTATTGTTCTATGTGTCTATTTTTCTGCCAGTTCCATAGTGTTTTGATTACATTTTTAAAATTTCTTAACATTGCTTCATTCTACTTAATTTCATGGTTATTTTCCATTTATGGCAAGTGATTCTTATTTTCCATTTACATTCATTTCCTTTTCAAATTTAAGTAAAAAAGTGAGTTGATTTAAAATTGTTGGCAGATATTATGAAGGTCATAACTGAATGGCTGAAGTTTGGGAAATACTGAGCTAAAGAGAAGAGAAAAATTAAAATGAGTTTTAACAAATTATGTTCCATAAAACATTAGTTTCAAAATATGCTTCCGGTGGGGGGCGGGGTGGGGGCAACTCTGTTCTGCAGTAAAATGAGTTTGAGAAACATGTATACTATATCACCCTCTAAGAGATTCGCAAGGCATATTAGCATATTAAAAGCTTGAAGAAGTTCTGCAATAAAGAAACTCATTTGATTTTAAGTCAGCAGTTCCCATAGGGCGCCTGGGTGGCGCAGTCGGTTAAGCGTCCGACTTCAGCCAGGTCACGATCTCGCGGTCCGTGAGTTCGAGCCCCGCGTCAGGCTCTGGGCTGATGGCTCAGAGCCTGGAGCCTGTTTCCGATTCTGTGTCTCCCTCTCTCTCTGCCCCTCCCCCGTTCATGCTCTGTCTCTCTCTGTCCCAAAAATAAATAAACGTTGAAAAAGAAATAAGTCAGCAGTTCCCAAATTTATTGGACCAGAACTTTTTTTTTTCCTAAATAAACTATTAACATTGAGATCCATTTTAGGAAATACTGGTGATAAGGAGTTTTATGTTTAGGGAAGAAGGGCTTGCCAGGATTGATCAGAATAAACATCAGCTGGGTCTCCGTTACTCCCTCTCTCCCTTTCTTGGTCCTTTCAGAGGATCAGAGGGCATGTAAACCGACACAGTAACAGGGGAGGGCTGGTTTGGAAGAGAGAATACCCAAATAAGAAAAGAGATGTCGGCTAGCTCAACAGCAGGTCAGATCCCATAACAGAAATAACTCAGCAGGAATTTCGGAGGTATTCAACTCTGCATAAGCAAATGGGAGGGGAGAAGATTTTAAGACTGTGTTAAGGAAAAGGAGATGTTGTGCAAATTTCGAAAGTAGCTCAGAAGAATTCAAGTTTTAGGAGTCTTGTTTGTGAAAGGTTTGATGAATTTCTAGAGTAAAGAAGTGGAATAACCGAGGAGGCAAAGTTTGTGTTAAAACCCAAAATACATCTATGCGCCAAACACAAAGTAAGTATGCTGTAAATGTCAGCCATTAATTCCTTCACAAAAACTATTTTGTCCAGTCCCCGCCCCCAGTATTTCTCAGTGTGATGTGCCTGGGAGGGCTTATATTCTTCCATTATCTTGGCAAGAAAAAAGAAATAATACAACCTGAGAAATGCAAGCTTGCTTAGTGCAGTAGACAGCAGCTAAAGAATTGGGGGAGCAAACCAATGTTTTCCCCAATACGTGAATTGAACAAACTGGAAGGATAAAGAAGAAAAAAGTGTCCCTTGGCTTTCCAAATGTGGTGGGCTAGAAGCAGACCACACTATGAATTACTGACAAAATGAGAAAACCAACAATGTTAATTGGGACCCTGCGCTGGTGGTAGGGTTTACGGTGAGATTGTGTCCTGCCTCTCCCACCTGTTCTGATACGGTTTTCTTCTTATTTGCCCACCCAATGTGCAGTTGTCATTCAGCCAACCCTTAGGTCTCGTCAAGAGGAAATTGTCCCATATGCAGCTGTGGATTCGCTGTGTCTGTGGGAGGAGGTGAGCTTAGGATCTTCCTACTTGCCATCTTGAACTGGAACTTCATAGTTTTTTTTTTCTAATCAAAAAGGGAGAGGCTTGATCTGGATTACAGATTTTTGAATATAGATTCCATATAGCCACTAGGTCCATAAAGCCCTTGAAATTACACACATACAGATTTTCTGGAGCGAGGATCCATAGCTTCTATTAGATTCTCAAAGGAATCCCTGACCCAAAAAAGGATAAGAACTATCAGACTAGATTATTTCAAAGCCTAGCCCAAGTGAATATTAATCCAGAACCATTCAAAAAAGAAATTGGTTTATTTGATTTTTATCTTATTGGTTGATTTTTAAGCCATATGCTCCCACTAGCTTAAATGAATAGTTCAATTGAAAGAAAAAACTTAATTGTTTTCTTTAAAAGATTTTAAAAAGATAAAATTCATTTTCTCCTTCATGCTAAAAACCTCCCAACAGATTTGGCATGATTGGTAGAGTAATAGGAAGCTCAAAGCTCAAACAATTATCTCAATGAGTGCAGAATTGATTTTGAATTCTCAAATTAGAATTGAGGTTGCATGGAAAATTTGAAAGTGATTCTACTCTTGAGTTTTTAGCTGATTTCATTTTAAGCCTTGTTTAAGAAGAAGAATACCAAGTTGAATGAGTGAAGAATCTTTCCAACTCAAAAAGCATTCACAATGTGACCAGAAAGCAAAGGATTGAAGCAATTATGTAAATATATAAGAACTAGCTTAACCGAAACACTTGTCTTCATTACGCACTGGACAAAAATGATTTCTTCTTTAGGGGCTCAAATTGTCTGGTTGGGTTGTTTGTCCTGGTTAAATTAGACAAATAAATAGTTGCTCTCTACCTTACTCTTTCATGGCAATGACCTTAACATAGATATTTTTACAGATGTTTCTTCTAACCATTTACAGATAAGCTATATTGATTGGGTAGAGAAATATTTCTCTATGGAAACTCAAGTTCTTCATTTGTTAGGCTCTGGCCAGGGGGGTCATTTTTGGAGGCTTCTGGCCGTTACTTCTCTGTCATCCAGTTGAGTAGCCAGTACACAGGATCAGAGTGTCCACATACCAGACAGCATTATGGATTCGTGTATATTCCTGACACCACTGCTTATCACTTTTTGTTTCAGGTCCTCCACTCCTTTCTTGATCTTAACATTCCACTGAGCTAGTAGCGGTTACTGATATCCCTTTCAGGTGAAGCTATGGGATCTTACTTTTATTGATCTCCCAGAAAATAGACTGCATTTATTCCCGCAGAGGCCCAATGGGAACCACAGGGATAATAGTCACCTATTTCCTGTCTCCTCTATGGTTGATACGATTGGATGAGAAACTGACCCAGGTGTCTTCCTGAAAAGTATGCTTTCACACCTGATGGCCTTCTACCCCCTTAATTATCTTCTTTTAGGAGCTAGAGACACTCCAGTGGTTTTTAAAAGGGATGGGCATAATCAGTAGCTGCTGGTTGCGCTGGCACCAGCTTTGGGTTGCTGGGCCCATCCCAGGTACGTGATCCCATCCCAGGAGTCTGAGAGGGGGAACTGGCCATCTGAAGCCCTGACAGACTAGGGCCAGTGGTCTTTCAGCAGTGTTGGGGGATCTGATGATGGGTTGTATCATGGGAAATCCTCTTCATGATGGGGATTTTGTCCTGCTGGAGAGAGAAAATCATGTTTAGAAATGGGGGAGCAGGTGGTGATGATCTGAGACCCTCAAATGCTGGGATCTAGAAGGACATCCTGAGTGGACAGCTGCTCAGCCACCTCAGCAAAAGGAGGTTTGATCCCCAAGAGAAGACAGAGGGGGATTGTTCCTTCGAATATTACCTAAAGGTCACCTCATTAAGCTTAACCTGAACACAGTATTTAAAATCAGACCCACTGATACACCTGAGCCTCCGTTTCTTGCTCCACTCTCCCTTTCCCACAGCACTTATCTTTTCTACAAATTGCGATTAACTTATTAATGATTTAGGATTGGGGTGCCTGGGTGGCTCAGTCAGTTGGGCGACCGACCGGCTCAGGTCATGATCTCGCAGTTTGTGAGTTCAAGCCCCGCGTCCGGCTCTGTGCTGACAGCTCAGAGCCTGGAGCCTACTTCGGATTCTGTGTCTCCTCCCTCTCCCTACCCCTCCCCTGCTCACGCTCTGTGTCTGTCTCTCAATAATAAATAAACATTAAAAAAAATTTTTTTTTAATGACATAGGATTGATTTTCATCATCATGTGTTTCTATCAGAATGGAAGCTCCACACAGGCAGAGATCAGAGATCTTTGTTTGGTTCATGAAAATTCAGTTGAACTGTATAAAAAGAAATTCCCACTTTGGGAGGTTAATACAGTGCTGTGTCCCAAGATTACAGAACAGTGCCTGCTACGTGGTAGGCCCTCAGTGAATATTTACTGAATGAATGACAGAGAGTAGCACCAATTCTGCATGTCAGTAGGACAACAGGAAAAGGATATGTGGGAAATAGTTTCATTTGTGGTTGAAATTTTCCTCACAAGCCTCTTCCAGGGAAAAGAAGGCTCAAAGTATCCATTCTGTGGCAAATATTTTTTTGTATGTTAATGTGCATAAAGTGCTATGTGAGGAATTGACTTTAACACCTATACCTACACCTCTTCCAAAAAGTCCTTTCAAACCTCCTGCTCTGTCTTGCCACACTGCTGCCTCCTTTATTCTGGTACCTCTGCTCCAGCAGAGAATAGGAGGACTCCATTCCAGTGAGTCCGCAGTTTTTTCCTTATTCATTTACCCTCTTGTATCCTCGCTTCCATCTGTGCTCTTCATGGCTCACCATTATGATCAGTCCATTATAAATACCCTCTCTCCGTCACACCTTCCTGGCAAACCCTCCACTTCCAGCAGAGAAATTGAATCAATGCCTATGTGTTCATATATGGAAACCAGAGTTTAGAATTAAGAGATCTGTTCAAGGCACATATAGCTAACCGTGGAAGTAATCTCGTTGTTTTGTTTTTTTTAGGTAAGCTCTACACGCAACATGGGGCTTGAACTCATGACCCCAAGGTCAAGAGTCACATGCTGTACCAACTGAGCCAGCAAGGCACCCCACCATAGGAGCCATCTTAATAATAATAACAACCAACATTTATGAATCAAATGCTTTATGTCAGGCATTGACACAAACATTATCTCATTTAATTTTCATAACAACCCTCTCCGCTCTGTAGATCAATATGGTAAGGTTCAGGGAGGTTGAGTAAACTGCCCAAAGTTATCCTGCTAGCCAGTAGTCTACATTTCAATCATTTGACAACTGTTTCTTAAGCCAATAATCCCTTCAAGCAGTGTACTGGGAATTAAGTCTACACTGGTGAACAGAACAGACAGTCTTTACCCTAATGATGACATAGTAATGGGCAATATTTATTAAGCTCCTACTAGGTCCTCGGCATTATTTTGTTTTACTCTCGCCACAACTTTGTAATACAGACACTATTAACAGAATATACAATTTTGAATGAGAAATTGAGTTTGAAAGAACCTTCCCCAAATCCTAGTGCTGGTACGTGAACTGGTTAGGACAGGTATATGAATTCACAAAATCTGACTCCCAAGTTCATTTTTCCTGTCATTATGCTATGCTTCTTCCTGGAGCTTGAAGTCTAGTAGGTGAGAAGGACACTAACAGTAAACCCTAAAAAATACATGAGATTTTCAGGCTACCTTATAGACCCCTTGGAAAAATCACCTAGGGCCAGTGGACCTCTTATTATGCTTTGATAACATCACCTTCCTCTGGCCTGCCAGGTCCATGGAGGTTGTGGAACTGTGTGTGTGGATGTCTGTCAGGTTGCTCATTCTTATAATATGCATGATGTCAAGCAAACCCAATTTTTATATCATGGTTTCTATTGAATGTAAAAAACAAAAACAGGGGCGCCTGGGTGGCGCAGTCGGTTAAGCGTCCGACTTCAGCCAGGTCACGATCTCGCGGTCCGTGAGTTCGAGCCCCGCGTCAGGCTCTGGGCTGATGGCTCAGAGCCTGGAGCCTGTTTCCGATTCTGTGTCTCCCTCTCTCTCTGCCCCTCCCCCGTTCATGCTCTGTCTCTCTCTGTCCCAAAAATAAATAAACGTTGAAAAAAAAAATTAAAAAAACAAAAACAAAAAAAAAAACCTGTCAAGTTGAAAGAAAGTGCTTATAAACATTCCAAACATTTTGTTTTGTGTTGGCTGGAGTTGGAGTCTAAATAAAAGCTGCAAGTGTGACTAATAATTATAATCTAATTTAGTGCACTGAATTGGAAAGGAGTAATTACTGCTTAGGACTTTTTGGAGTAAATGATTTATGGTTGACCTACAGTAAATTATTATTGGAATTAATAGTGAGAAAGGGAGGAATTTGAATGCAAATTAATTAAGTTTGGAGCCCTTTCTGTTTAGGTTGATAGAATAGTGGAAAATCCCAGGGTCTTGTGTTATTTGGCCGAATCTGGACTTGAGATAGATGTGGGATAAACATTCTGTTGGTGTCCGTAGGTCTTGGGTATAAAGACACAGGCCTCATGCTGGACCTAGAACTTTTCTGATCTGATCAGATAAGAGCCCTGAAGGAAAAACGATTTCCTTTTCCAAGAGAAAAATGTATTCTCATAGAGCGCTTACATGCCCCAAGATCGTTGTACTCTCTTCAACGTGTCGGTCTCTGGAGCCACCAAAGCCACCACCACCACCATGTATTGAGTGCTGACAGTGAGCCATTAGTTATGTCCAAGGTTTCCCAACCTCTACAAGATTAACGGATTTGTTGTGGGATGCTGTTCTGTGCGTGTGGGATGTTGGAAACCATCCTTTGCCTCTACGCCCTAGATGCCAGTCACATCCCTCCACCCCGTTGTGCCAACCAATATAATGTCTTCAGACATTGTTGAATATACCCTGGGGAAGAGGGCACAGTTATCCCCAGTGAGAACCACTGTGTAACACCCTTTATGTGCATTATCTAGTTCATTCTTTACAATACCCTGTAAGGTGTGTGTATTAGTACCTGCTTCACAGATGAAAACACTGAGGCTTATACTTGGCCAGAGTCACAAAGCTAATACATGTTGAAGCCAGGGTTTAAACGTATCTGTATTGGCCTAAGCCTCTGCTTTCAGGTGAGTGATATTTTTGAAATTACAATCACCTCTGTCATTTTTAATGAATAAGCAGCAGTTAAGTGATTTGGTCAACATCATACAATTAATTTGTAGCAGAGGTGGGGCTATCAGCAAGGCATCCTTAAACCAGCTGATCATAAGAAGTAGAAATTCAGCTGATAAATGAAAAGTGTACTCATAGTTGTGTTGCTGGTCTTAAGTTTCTTCTTGTCTCTGTCGAATGGTACTCTTTTATTTGTACTATTTAGATTTGGAATATAAGGGGGTCTTTAAACTTCTGTCAACTAACTCTGAAACACATACTGAGATTTTAAAATCGGTTTCTTAACATTGGAAAGAAACAGACCTTTGAGTTGTTACTGCTTTATAATTATGTATAAAAGCATTTCAACCCACCCAAATGTTTTACCAGCCCGTTTTTCCACCAACAAGTAGAAAGAAAGCCAAACAATCCAGTGAGAATTCTGTTCTATTACTAGCATACTCTGGTCCTGCTGGTGGGCCAGTAGATAAAGGGGTAGGTAGCTGCATGACTATAATAAAACAGCACCAGACAGCCTTGGATTAGAACTTTTCAATGTCCATTCCAGCTAGCATTATTATTCAATTCCACATGTAACACAGTGGGACCTGATCTGAAATTTCTGCCCAGTGAGTGTCTGGCCACAGAAATCAATGTTTTCTCTATGGTAGACAGGCAAGTGCTTTCAGAATCTGTTAGGCTGAAGAAATCTAATAGAGAAATCTGCATAATTAGCTCTTTGACTAATCTTGCTATTGCCTTGGAGTAAGAGGCAATTAAGACTGTGAAACCAGTTTCATATATTTGAACTGTGGGGGTAGGGGGAGTACAAGCTTTTCAGATCTAGAGTGAGAAGCTTATTCTCCCTGGAAGGTCTTCAACCTTTTGGGATATAGAGCTTTCCTGGGAGCAAGTAGGTTTCTTTGGGTTCTGAGGTGCTGCTGGGTTCCAATAAATCTATGCTCGTGGACTTTCCAAGGCTAGGGACCCCAATCATATATGTGGTCAGTGAGCAGGACTGGACCAAGGAAGAGAAGTCAGCAGGGCAAAGAACCAACATCAGCAGGCAAATAATACCTACCTGGTGATAATAGAAAATGTAGAGAATAATTTCAAGATTTAAAGGCACAGGATAGCAGATATTTTTTTTTAGACTTTCAGATGGACTCTGCTAGAAGGAACCACTACTGACATAGAGTACAGAGTTCAAAAGCCCATCCATGGACTCAGATCACCTGGGTTCCAATCCTAGCTCTCCCACTTACTGGCCGTGTGACCTGGGATGAGCTGTTCAATTCCTCTTCTTTGTCGTCTTCATCATAGGACAGGTTCATATTAAGGGCAACCTCATAGAGTTGTTTGTAAGGCTTACCTGAGATAATGCCAAGAAAAAAATCAGATCTGGCCATAAAACATAGCACTTAGTGAATTCTGGCTGTTGTTGTACAATCTAGCCCCTTTAGTAATGGGGTAGCTAAGGTTTCAAAAAGTTATGGCAAAGCTG